ATCCCTAAACTTCTGTGGGTTATTTATATGATTTTGAGCATATTGGTTCTGACTTTTCTTGTGTTTTTGGGTCATGTAGTAGTGTACGTCTTGAAGTTCTGGCACAGAAACCTTCTGCTAGTACGTGCCTTACTGTGCTAACTGACACCACTGTTTCCACTAAGTCTTGCTGCAAGTCTCTTGTAGTCACTTAATGGTTTTTCACAACCTGCCTCATAAGAAATCTGAACGCAGCCATTGATAGCTTTTTTTTCTATAACCACTGTTCCTTCAACTTTGAATTTGTGAAATATGCTTCCAGCTGTGTTTCTAGGAACATTCTGTGCCTTCGCTAACTTTTTGTATCCTATTTCTTGTTTATGAAGGGCGATGATCTCTTCTCTTAACTTTGTGGACCATTCTTTTGACTTAGCCGTATTTCTAGCATGCAGTCAAACATGACACAACAAACCCCTAGCCAGTTCATGTATTTCAAGTGTTCCGTCTCAAGCACGCCTGGTGCAACTAATAAAGCCCTTGACAAGTTACATCAAATGTGCTTGACAACACCTGTTTTGCATATTTGTTCTGTTGTTTAGGATCTATTCAGGGGGATGTGTCATTTTGAGACTCGAGAAGTCATTATAAGTTGTATTTTCAGTTACAAGTCAGAGCAATTTTTCACTAATTTTCCTCTAGCTTTTGACAATCGCATCCTATTACTTTTGTACCCAGCCAAGCTAAACTTTTTAGCAATATTCTATTGACCTAAGTGATCTTCATGTCAGAGAGCTTGTTTAACTGCTTTCGGTGGTAAAAGTTTAAGAGAAATTGTGACTTAAATAAAAGCCATGGTGATGCACTCTGCCAGTTCTGAGGGCAGCCTTGAGGTACTATACCTAATTTATTTATGCAATAATCTAAAAAGTCTTCTAAAAGGTGCTTACAACAATAAACATGTTTTATTGATAATGCTGGATTGTTCTTTTTTGCATGCAGACTTACAAACAAATAAAGCCCTTAGATGACATGTTTACTGTTCTAAATATATACATTATTTGTTTGTTTGCTAATGTCTTTACAATGCTTTTCATTGGATCTCACTTAGAGAATAGCACACTGATGCTTTGTCACAATGTTTTCAATTTTACTGATATCTTTCCAGAGCCTAGAAAAAAAAGCTTATCACATAATTCCAATTGAGTGGAAAGGCTTTCGGTGCATTTTCTGTACTGAATCAGGTTTTACACTGTCAACAAACTGATAGCAGCTACAAATAAGAATCATGTGGCTTTCTATCTATTTATTTGTCATTCTATCTGTCTGTCAGTCAGGCAGAGTTTTCATAGTGAGTTACCAGAAAAAAGAAACTCATAGAATCAGCGATTTACAGCTGTAAAAGCTGTAATTTACATACATTTATATATATATATATATTCATTGAAAGTTTGTTACATACTGGGGATCCACATATCTATAATTTGTTATATATGATTAGAAGAGGGAACAGCATTTTAAAAAGTACTCGGGTGTTTGTAATTGTGAAATAAGGGAAAAACTGTATATAAACAGTACAAAACAGGTACATAGTGTAGTATGGTTAAAACAGTAAAAAATGGTGAGAGCACAGAGAAACAATAATTACCCTTATATTCAATATAAAACCTGTAAAAACACAATGGGAAAAACAGGCATAGGGTAATAACGTACAAATAATATATGAATGAGTAAATACTTGAATAAACTCACATATTCATGAGCCACTTAATATGGAAGCTGGCTCAGACTAGGAACATTGAATGGATTAGTGAGGTGGTCGCTGTAATCCAACTGCTTAATTGCTTGCTCCTTCTTGCTTTACAAAATCCAGGATGCAGGATCTTTAATGAAAACCTTTATTCGGTATAGCAGCAAAAAAAGACAGCAGCAGTAAAAATTAAAATTCAGCAATTCCACCTCTGCACACTAACGCGTTTCAGCCAAAGCCTTTATCAAAGTGTGAGTCCATTCAGTCAGTTCCATTTTTAAATAGGCAAATTTTCGCGAAAATCTGCCTATTTAAAAATGGAACTGACAAAATTTGCCTATTTAAAAATGGAACTGACTGAATGGACTCACACTTTGATAAAGGCTTTGGCTGAAACGCGTTAGTGTGCAGAGGTGGAATTGCTGAATTTTAATTTTTACTGCTGCTGTCTTTTTTTTGCTGCTATACCGAATAAAGGTTTTCATTAAAGATCCTGCATCCTGGATTTTGTAAAGCAAGAAGGAGCAAGCAATTAAGCAGTTGGATTACAACGACCACCTCACTAATCCATTCAATGTTCCTAGTCTGAGCCAACTTCCATATTAAGTGGCTCATGAATATGTGAGTTTATTCAAGTATTTACTCATTCATATATTATTTGTACGTTATTACCCTATGCCTGTTTTTCCCATTGTGTTTTTACAGGTTTTATATTGAATATAAGGGTAATTATTGTTTCTCTGTGCTCTCACCATTTTTTACTGTTTTAACCATTTATTTATGTGAGGTGGAGTGACCCACATTGCTGGTGATTGTAGCACTTTGTCTTATATTGTTTTTTTCACCATATATACACTTATTTTAACATAGTGTAGTATGTCAAATGGAAATGGAAAAAAATAAGGTGGAGATACACTTAAAATTTGTGGAGCTATCTACTTCTGTCCTGGGTGGTACAATCACTGCCTAAGATTACATGCTGTATCCCTGGGTCCAAAGGTGAATGATCGGGAGAGTATGCAAAAAAAGCAGAAATCAATCCCAAATCTAGTGTAGTATATGTGATATAGTAGGTGGAATAAATCATTTTTTGAATTTAGAAATGCACTGGCAATGTGTGGAGGCTCCTAGTGGCTCCCAGGACATAGTGTAAAGTTGTACAATCTCCACTCTAGGACCTTGTCAATTGGCTGAGGTCCTAAGGATGATATATGTGTATAAAAGTAAAAAATAGAATATAGTGCTCACTGTGATATCAAAATTATAATTAAAATATTAGAGAGGTACTCACTGGTGTAGAGAAAAATAACGGTATGCTCAATCTTCAGAGTGGTATGTTCCCCACCAAGAAAATTGATGTACAAACTCAAACAAAAAGGCAGGATGATTCAGGAATGGTGTAAAATTCACAAATTGATTGATGAACTGTTATAAAAAATTTAAAATATTAGATTAAAAGTGAGTAAAACAACTTGAACAATAACACTAATGCATGTTACCTGTGGCAAGGCTTTTTCAATGTGTCACAGGTGAAAGCGATGTCATAAATTTTTTTATATATATGAGAAAACAAGGGGCTGGCTGCACTCACCTGAACATGCTTAAATGTTTAGTAGCGGTTTACTAGATAAGGGAGTGCGCTGGATTAATTTTTTTAGACTTCCCAACACCAGAGAACCATTTAAGCGCTACTCCCTCTTCTAATCAACCTTTCTTTGGACTGCAATACAGAGACTGGTTTGTGTTGTTTTAGCTGCCTTCCTCATTCAACTAAATTCACTACAAACCTACCACCTCTATATATTTATCTTATGTTTTATTTCCCTGCCCTCTATTTTATTGTAGTCACAATGACATTAATGTTTACATAGGAACTGTAAGAGTAACATCAGATAAAACGTATTACTATTTTATGATCGTATCTCCTAATATAACAACAAGGGTAATAAAATATATAATACAGCATTAAAAGTTTAATAAAAACTACAAGGATTAGGCTTTATTGAAATCTGTTCTTAAACAGATAAGCTTTTATAACCAGCTTTTCGATGTTCCTTACAGTATATTTTAATGATTCATATTTTTTTTTTATTTTACTTCCAGGGAAATTAGGGAAAAAAGGGCACACTCTACATACCGCTGTACATGGTAAAGTTCCTGTCTATGGCATGTTCCTCTTATATATCTGTTTGATTACACTCTAGTTCTTAAAACAGCGAATTATTATTTAAATTGATTTTTTTCAAAGCTTATTTGCTGTAATTATAATCCAAGGCTTGTTTTCATAATTTGCTCTATAAAGTCCAATCGTCGATACCAGTGGTAATTGTATCTCAGCAGTATAATTGCATACATTTCATTTGTTATTAATTTGCATTTCCATAATTAAAACCAAGTGAAAAGTCTACAAAAATGACTGCCAAATGATATGATTTCTGTGCTAATACAGATTCTATTACTACGTTCAGCACAGATGTATGTTTTGAAGATCAATTTGGAATAACGTATACGAACAATTTGATTAAAATGCCTCTGGTAGGTTGAACTTGTGACCTAAAACCAACATGAACTGGATTCACTGATTACTAAAGCAATTTTTACATCATGTTGGCAAAATAGAGATGATGGTGCAAAGAATTTTAGTTGAAATGAACAGTGCAGTGGCAGAATGCTTTGAATTATAAAAAAAAAACAAATGGTCCAACATGTGAGAATGCAGACAGGTGGGTTCTCCTCCAATTAGACATACAATATATCAATCAGGACTTGATTGTCATACTATATCAAACGGATTAAAATTGTCCTTTATTAAAAAACTAAATTATATTTGGACAGAGCTCTGATGTATGTTGCACAACACGAAACACATTAACATTCCCTCCCCACTGCACATTGTATCCAAATATAATTTTATTTTGAAAAAAAGGATGATTTTAG